ACGTGCAAAATGTTTTAGACTGTTGCAATTTACATAGATATTGATTACATTTATTTATTTAGAGATGAGTTCAAAAATAGCATATACAGAATATCTCACTACTAAATTTAGTTTCACTAATATATACTTGGATAAATTTCGAGTAATTTTCTTGTAAATACAAAATATAAATAGTTCAAAATTTGTTATAATTTTCGAACCTTAGTACTCAACAAAAATCAAAAATTAAAATTTTATTTTTTAATAAAGTTCAAATAAAATTAAAGATATAATTAAATCAATTAAAAGATATAATTATTTGGAGAGTGAGAGAGAGAGTGAAAAAATATGGGTTATTTATTTAATTTCTAAAAATTTAATTTGTAAGAAATTCATTAATATCTGCAATCGTTAATTATTTTAAATTGCATCAATATTTTTTACGAGGAAAATTTACTTTATTTTAATAAGAAAAAAATCCGTCAGAAAAATATGAGCCATACATAAAATCAGTCGCATAAAAATAATATTGCAAAATAAAAAATTAAAATTACTTTTTTAATTTTATAAAATAATGTATTTTTAAAAAGACTTTTAGCTTTATAATTAAGTAATAGCTTGTTAAACTAAACTTATACGGTTCTAATTTAACATCTTTGTGCAATGTGTAACTAATTATACAGCATCTTGACAGCAAGCAAACAGTGAAGATAAAGAGGAAAAAATTATATGCATATAAGCTTACTGTTGCGTAGTTTTATATTGTTGGATTAACTAAAAGAAAGTTCGTTCACTCGATATACTGGTTATTGCATAATCATGAGTAAAAAATTATTTGTTTATAATATCGTTTTACAAAATTTTTCCATGTAAAAAGAAACATAATGTATCTATAAAAAGATTGTATATTTAAATGTACAAAGTCTTGATTAAAGTCGCTGTTTATTACTTTGCTATTTGTTTACAGCTGACAAGATTTATTATTAAATCGGATATCTATAGTAAGAGATTCTCTACATGCAGTTTTCATGTAAATACAACACGCGAGAAAATAACGCGGCAGATTTATACTCGCAACCCATTCTTACCTCGTGAATAATCCTCGTTACAATATTTAATCAAATTTGTGTAATGTAAAAGAGTGAAAATTATGTTTATTAAAGTTTAGATTATATATTTTCATTTAAACATATTGATAAATTAGGCGTTCCTTTCCATTCAAAACAAAAATATTAATTACCTACAATTTTAAGAATATTTATCTATGGAAGAATTTTTTCATTTTATTATAACAAAAAATAATTAAAATATTAATTATTATTATGAACTGTTAAAACATTAATGAATACTATCTTTACTTTTCATTCAGGAACTGATTCTAAGTTCATCAAATAAGTAATTTATATTAAGTAAGAAAAATATATTGTTGTATGTGATTTCTGATATATCCTGTTACAAGGAAAAAAAACTTTTGAAAAATAACACCTGGTGTTGCTTACATATCATTAAATTATTTGAATAAATCTCTGTTGTATACGCATAAATAACGGTAATAAATTCATGATTTAAATATGAATTATATATTTATACTCTTGTAAAAGTAAAAAAAAAGTGACAAAAAATTCTTACAATACGCATTTGGGCTTTGTGAACTTGGCACCCGACTTGCAGCAATATCTTTCTTCTTACTTTTTTTTCGAAAGATTATCGTACGATACAATCAACTACAAACGATTCTGAATCAACTCCCGCAAGCAAATTTTAGGTATCTTCAAAATGAAACAAATTCATTTTTAACAAATTGTTTAAACAATTATTTCTCGCGAACGATTCAACTACAAACGAAAGCAAAAGCACTACAAACAACTACAAACGATTCTGAATCGATTCCCGCAAGCAGATTTCGGATACCTATCTTTAAAATTAAAAAAAAATTTTTTTTTTAATAATTATTTCTCGCGAACGGTTCAACTACAAACGGAAATAATTTTACTACAATCCACTACAAACAATTTTCTTTAAGAGACAATCGTTAAAATTGATTGATTTTAAAAGTCGGGGGATGACATTTTTTAAATCGCCATATTTTTTTCTGCGTTACTACAAACAAAATCAATGTTACTACATTCAACTATATACGATAATCTTTCGAAAAAAAGAAAGAAGGAAGATATTGCTGCAAGTCGGGTGCTAAGTTCACAAAGCCACACATTTGTCATAATCCTTTCAAATCGATACACGCGAGCTTTGAATAAACATATCGCGTAGTTGTAACTTTAGAGCTACATACTAACACATATTTGAAATAAAAATTCTAGATATCATATTCAAGGATTGCGATAAAATGACTGGTGCAATAAAATAAGCGAAATCAAGCGCATATCGCGAAATCATATCCGTTTCTATGTAAATACGTATCAAGAACCTAACCGGAAGCAATTATAACCATCATTAAAATAAAAAATATCTCCACTTTCCTCCTCCTATACAAAACATATATATATAGTTTGCATAATTATTAGTAATGCATTATAAAATATTTCTGTCTCTCTTCAATCTATTAAACAAAAATTTATTACAAAAGAGTTGAGAGATTTTTACAAGAGTGCAGTTAACACGTGATAATAATTACCACTAGGAAACTTAAAGAAAAAACAATATTGCAAAATATGCTTACGTTTTTATGATAATAAAATAGTGATTGATTATTGATATATAACATGCTATATGCATACATAGCATTATTATCAGATTTTCATAAAATATGCAAAGTAATATTTAAAACAAGTTTTATGATTATATTTTCATATGCAATAAAGAGCGGATTTTACTTGTTCTTAACTGTTTATTTTTATTATCTCGCATACTATCATATTATATATGATGGTATATGAGAGATTTTCTAAAATAGCATCTTCTAGAAACAGCAAGTTACACTTGATTAGCCAAGAAGAATTGCGAAAGAAATAGAAGCAAAATGCGGGCTAATAGAATGGGACACAAAATCTCTTTAAGAATAGAGAAACTGAATTAAACCCGGTGCAATACAATTCGGGATAATACTCAACAGAATTCAATACGATGCTGAATAAAAGTACGACAAAAACTCTTCGGAATAAGTCATTCATTACTCCTATTCTTTGCGATGGCAAACTTAGAATAATTGTGTGTCTACGATATTTCTTGATAATACTAAATGCAATATAACAAAAAAAATGAGTACACTGAAAAAAAATTTGTTATCTTGACTAAATTGTTCAACTAAATATTATTTTGTTAACTGAACATAGAGAAAAATATTTAAATTAAGTATAAAATATTAAATCTATCAAAACCTATATTTGATTTAAATACTAATATAAATTCAATTAACTAAACAGTAATTTAATTAAATTATTTAGTCAAGTTCCCAAATTTTTTCAATGTATGTATACATATAATATATCTAGATATATTCGATACTTAATATTAAAAGAGCATGAGGATATAGTAAAAATGAGGATATTTAAAAAACATATATTTATAATGGAATTTCAACACTGAAAATAAGATTTGTTAATTTGATTAAACCTTTCAACTAACTATTATTTTGTTAATTAAATATATAAAAATATTTAAATTAAATATAACATATTAAATCTAACAAAAGATATATATTTAACTTAAATACTAATATATGTTCAATTAACAAAACAGTAATTTAGTTGAAAGATCTAGTTAAATTAACAAATTTTTTTCAGTGAAGTATTCTTGATAACATGTTTGATTGATTTCGAAATGTATAAAATATAAAATAACACAATCTTAAAATTTTTTAAAATTATATGTCGATAAGAAAATGCGAATTGATTATATAATCATAATCAATATTTCATATTCTAAATATGTATATCATTTACATTATAAAATATTTCTTAATTTAATTAAACCTTTCAACTAAATATTCCTTTGTTACTTAAACATATATAAATATTTAAATTAAATGTAACATATTAAATCTAACAAAATGTATATTCAAATACTAATATATGTTCAATTAACAAAATAATAATTTAGTTGAAAAGTTTAGTCAAGTTAACAAATTTTTTTTCAGTGTATGTATACATATAATATATCGTAAAAATAAATAGAAATGTGTATATTTGCGCGTTAAGTATTTTTATTAATAATTTTAATTTTATTTTTATATTCTCTCAGCAGTTTGATTGCATATAAAACAAAAATTTTTAATAATTTTTTATAATTATACAATTCTATTAAAATGTAGGTACTTACTTGTTTTTTTAGTGATATCCAGCATTAATTTTGGATTCGTGGATAATTTTATATACAATTGTCAATAATAAAATCACATTCTAGTAATGGAATGCGGATATAAATTTATTTAATTTAAATATTTAAATGTACTTAATTTAAATATTTTTCTAACGTGCATTTTTTTAATTTTAATTTATTTGCATATTTATATGTATATATATGATGTAACTAACTTGAAATAACTAAAATTCAATCTAATCATTTGCATAAAATATCTACATGATTGATTTAATTTTATACGATTAATTCTGTTGACTCTTTATAGAATAATTACTACAACAAATTTAAGATATTCTTTTCAAAAAGAATTAGCATAAATACTATAGGAAAATTGTAATTTCAAGCAGAATATGTTTAATATAAGGAAAATAATTCCTTGAAACTCTTGACGTGATAAGATTCATTTTTAAATATACAATCAAGATGATATATGATACTATCAATATATCATCATAATATTATCATTATTTATTAGAAAATAATATCGTACAACATGTGTGACTCAATTTTTCCTTACAAAGTTATGTTGAAAATTTATCTAAACTTTTTAAATGTCAAATAGCGTTTGAAACGTTCAACTTTTGTAATTGCGATTTCGGAGCACAAACAAACAACACGTCTCGCTCTGTCACCTGCGTGCTACGACGGGGTGGACTCGAGTCAAAATAGAAAGAAGTTAAAAGGAAACGGATCATAAGACTCACCGAACATCGCCAGGCCCAGGTGTCACGATGCTCGCGGATATTTTCGACGTGGTGTCCCGACGTGGTCTTGCGTCCCAAGACGTCGCACCGCTGTCACACGTTGACGTAGGTCGATGCCGGGCGACGATCATCGGCGAGGACTCTTGATGCTCAAACACGCACGCATACGTACACGCACACGCGGCGGACAGATGACCGCGCGACACACGATGACAGGAGAAACGGGGGAAAAAAAGAAACGAGGAAGGCGAGGACGGAGACGCGTACAAAGCGATGCATTCCCAAAACAAATTCCCATACACAGCCACGCACAAACACATACACGCAACACACATATGCATATATAAATACGCACGCACTCACGCAAGGATTATACAAGCAGCACACCTGACGCAAAGACGATGCGCTCGCGGCGGGTGAGACAGGAGAGGAAAGGTAAAGAGAGAGAGAGAGAGAGACAGACGACCGTGTACAATCGGTACGATTGACAGAGAGGGAGATATGTGGGCGCACACATCGTCGTAAATGTACACAATGCGGACGCGGCGCGATGACGGCGTCGCGCGTAATCGAGGAACGGAGCATTCGGCGGGATTCGCGACGTAGAAAGCGATTACAGGTCGCGAACACCGAACGTTTGTACACCGGCGAGCACCGGCCTCGAATTTGTACGGCGTACGCCGAGTGTCGCGTTCGCGGGGAGCGTGTATCGCGGATACCGCGCGCGCGAGATAGCGAGGGGGAAAAATATACGCGAGCGAATACGATTCGCGATGTCGCGCTTTCCTGACACAAGTCGATCAATCGAGCGCGAAACGCGACCGATCCGTTCACGCCTCGTTCTACCAACCTATGCGTCGCACGTCGACCGATCGTCGCGGCTGCTTGCTCGGCGAGTTCAAAACATTTCCGCGACACTGACTTGTGCGGCTATCACGACGGCTGCCATATTGGATTCCCCATTCTCACGATCGCCCGCGAATCAGGCGCGTACGAGAGCGACGTCACGCGGGAGTCTGACGCGATCGCGCCGCCATCTGGCGGCGCGCGTGCGAACTAAACGTGCGTGGAGCGACCGGTCATGATGAATGCGATGGATTCTGATATATGTTTGGGATAACTCTATCTGGAAGCAAATAAAATATATCATACGAGTATCAGAGATTATAAATGGAGATTTAACTGGGAAATTTCGATTATCAATATCGGAATAAAATATGATTATGCATTGAAACTACTGCTTGGAAATTCACATGTATCAAGACAAATATCAAAATACATTATTAATTATATTATAATTATGAAATGTGTATGGTTAGTTTTTTAAAAAATAAATTTTTTGTAAATAAGTAGATTTATATACTTAATATATATATATATCTTATAACTACATACAAATCTCATGTTAATTATATATTTTATATACTTATGTTATATATCTATTTATATGTATAAAAATGTTCCTATATTTTTTATATCATAAAATTAATTTTTCAGATAAATTCAATAATATAAAATGTATCTCTCAAATTAATAACCATACAATGTATTTATATCAATTATCAATAATGAATTAAATTTACTATTTTCAAATTAGTTTACGTTAATTTTTAACAAAATATACAATTGTCATGTTGAACTTAATTTAACGTAAACATATTTTTAAATTTATTATAAATGTCTAAAGCTCTTTTCTTTTCTTTTATATATATATATATATATATATATATATATATATAGATATATAAAATAGAATTTTTATGCAACTTTTTGATAAATTTTTTGTTAAACTTTTATACCAATCTTCTTTTTGTTAACTTACTAAATAAGTTTTTTTTCTTGTTCTCACATATATCAGTATTTGACAAGACTAAACTATCTAAATTATCTACTAATGGCAGATTTTGAATTGTTGTCTCTGTAATCAACTGACCACTTTGTTTAGTTTTTGTTTTCCAATTTGCTGTAATTTTTTCCCATCGCAACAACTTCTTATTCTTTTTACTTCCAACATTTAAAGCTTCTGCATTATTTATTTTTGCGACAGTGTAGTTTTCATTCTTCTGTTGTACATATTTCAATGTTTCTTCACTTAATTTTTGATTATTTTGAGGTATATCTTCATGTTTATCAGATAAAATATTTTTCTTTGCTTCTGTACCTTCTTTTGTTATATTATTTCGTATTTGTGATATACTGCTGCAAAAGTAAGAGTTATTTAATTGATATTCTAATAGCTTTTAACTAAAAACGCTAATAGCTTTTAAAAAAATTATATATATATCAAATGTATGTATCTTTTGCTATATCATATTGAACAAGTGACATTACTTTGTATTTATAGAAGATTTTGAAGCCTGTATAGAATCACGTAATTTGGCCCAAAAGTCATATAATCCTCTACGATTATAATCCAAAGTAGATATATATCTCAATTGTAATGGTAATTCACAACTTTCATATATACATGGTATGATCTTTCTCTGTCGCTTTTCTGTGGAAACAAATTCTTAAAATACTATTTCAAGAGAATTGTGATTTTACTAAATCACATATGTATCTCAAAAAAGATATAAAATAAATATATTGAGAAAACATACCGATACTTAAAGCTTGAGCATAATTTAAGAAGAATTTGTTTGCTGAGCTTTCTAAAAAGCTAGGAGATACTACAACAAGTAATCTGTTACATCGTTCCGAGATTAATTTCATTACTGCTTCGTGCTCAAATGCTATACCACCAACCAGATCTCGATCTTTCAAACAAAGCTTTCAATAGAAAAAAAAACAATAATTTAAATTTAATTGAATATTTTTGTAAAAAGTATATAGTATATGTTTCAATTATCTGAAACTATACCTTCAACTTATGTTCCGTTTCAAGTTTTTGTACCATTTCATTTGCAAAACCAACATCTTCATCTGCATACAAAAGGAAAGCATCATAATATTGAGTTTCTAAACCTTGGCCTAACCTATGAACATCACCTACAAGAAACAAATATTTGTTGTGTAATTATTGTATCATTACATATATATCACAAATATATAAGTTATGCAAAAGATTATTAATTGCTTATTCTCCTACCTACCTAATGTAAGTACTTCTTGATCAACACATTTGTCTATCAAATTTGCTGATTCTTGAGCTCTTTGTTGTTGTTCCAAATATTTTCCAGCATCGCTTTCTAAAAAAAAAATAAAAAAAATCTTCAATTGATAATTATAATAGATTTTATATATACTTTTACTAAATTGTTATAAATAACAGAGCATATGTTATTTTTTTTAGTAACACATACCAAATATTGCTTCGGTGTCATCAATAATGTCCCATCTGTCTATTTGTTCCATCATTGTTTGAAAAATTTTTATGGTAATATTCTTTTTATTTTTCTCCAACATTATTAACATATATGTTGTTGGATCAGAATGTGATACAAGTAGTGACATTATTTCTCCATTGAGGTCCAATAAATGTGCAAGACCTCGCCAATCTCTAATATAATTTGATTACAAATAATAATTAGTCACTATATATAAATGCAAAAAGCATGTTAAATTTCTTAGAAAAACATATAAGATTTACCTTGGTAAACCACTATCACTTGGTAAAACTTTCATAGGATTTAACATAGCTGCAATTATTTGTTTACTCACAACAGTGATTCCAACAAGTGGCACAGTTGACAGATCAATTGTCATTTTGATTAAATGTCTTTCTTTTTTTATGTAATAAATATCCGTTCGCGCGTTAAGATACAATACCTCTTGCCTTTTATATTATTTTAACTGTGTGACAATTGTTGGATATACGTACATGTACATATAAAATTCTGTCACATGTCCATAGAATTGTGTATGATATATCGCGTTTGCTATGACTGTTCACGCTGTTCACCAATTCGTTCTCTAATAAAGAATGCATATTGCCAATGTCTACAATATCCAATAAGAAAATGAGTTTCCTAGGAACTCGTAACATTTTTATCCCTAAAATATAAACCTTCTTATTGGATATCAGGTGGTCGATTGTGTAATTTTTTCTAAAGTAAAAATGTAAAAAGTGAAAAATTTCTTCCAATCACACATCGATTTTATTTTAAAATCAATGCGTGATTGGTGGAAATTTTTCACTTTTCACGTTTTCACTTTAGAAAAAGTTACACAATCGACCCCCTGATGTGATACACATGTCTGATGTAATTATATACTGAACTTCGAAAAAAATATCCTCTTCAATTAGACATGGTCAAAATTTTATCATAAATATGGTATTTTACATTTCTTATATACTATATTATACATTTCACATCTTTTATATATAGTTATCATAGAATTAAAAAATTATTTTATACAGCAGATAGCACAATTATGACAAAATGCTAAGATCAAATGTAATAATTATTAAAAATATCAATAAAATAATACCAATTATTAAAAATCAATAAAAAATCAAATGTAATTAATAAAGAACAAAAGATTATAAAGTTGTTTTCCCATATCCCGTGTAAAATAACTTATAAAATAAAATAAAATAAAACATACCCCGTTATTATGCTTAATTTATTAATTATACTTATCTATTAAATATATTCTTATTAGTAAAACTTTTAAAATAACAATTTAAATTTGAAAATAACAATACACTTATAATACTAAAAAAATACTAGTTCTATCTATGGTTCAATGTAACTGTAAAGTAATTGTTAGTTATTAGCTCTTATATCAATAATTAAAATTAATCAATAATTAAAATAATTGAAATCAATAATTAAAATAATTAAATTATCAACAATAAAAAAGATAAAACATTGTCCATAGAGTATTAGTATTCGTAGTCTACTATTATGAAAAATTAATAAAATAAATATACATCAACGTGTACGAGAGCTACAAATTATACACCATAAAAATATTTTATATGCTCAAAATTTAAATAAGTTTTTTTATACGTAACTATCATAGTGTTATGTTTGTGTATGTGCTTTCTCTATTAATATATATCACAAAATAAAATAAATTAAAAACCAAACAGTGACTTAAGATCATTGAGAGTAAGCTTCATCCCAGCATTATTGTCGCCACTCAATACATTATGTGCTATCTCGAGCTTTCGCTCTTGCAAGGCTTTTATGCGTTCCTCTATTGTATCAGTACAAATAAATCTAAAAAGAAAATTACGCAATAATAAAACAGAAGGTCCATATAGAAATTAAACTAATGATTATTAATGACATTAAATTAATGATTATTAATAACTTTAAATTAAATTAATGATTATTAATGACATCAAATTAATGAATAATGATTACTAGTGACTTTAAATTAAATTAATGATGACAATACTAACTTGTAGATGTAGACATTTTTTGTTTGACCAAAGCGATAAATCCTATCTTGCGCCTGTGTCTCCAATTGTGGATTCCAATGAATGTCAAATAATAATAAATGATTGCCGCCTACCAAATTTAATCCTACTCCACCAGCAGTAAGTGAAAGCAACAAGATTCTTGGGCCGGAATTTTTACTATTAAAAGAATCCACTACACCCTAAAACAAAAAAGGCTTATAAATATATCCAGTTTTTTAAATTGAATACAAAAATTACATGTTTAAACAATAGCAAATATATCATCGGCATACTTGGCGGTCTTTGATAGCGACACTTCCGGTAAATTTGCTAAATGTGGCGCCTTTTATTGAAGACAAGTGCGATGCTATAATGTCTAATAGAGTGGCCCATTGTGAAACGATAATGAGTTTATCCTCATCCTTTTGTAAAATTTCTTTAACCATATTAAGCAAGATCCTCATCTGAATTACATATCATATTAATCGCTTGCAAATTTATGAAATTTTTTGCAAATTATATAATTGTTACTCACTTTAGAACTAATGCGATCATTATCAAATACTGGATTTTCAGCAGTAAGTAGGTTTCCAACTATTTTTTCATCAACATCGTTTTCCTCTTCCATATTATCAATTCCATTAAGCGATATGTTACTGACTCGTGACAATAAATCGGGATCAACATTCTCATCCATTATTCCACTTTGCTTCACGTCATCCTGATCCAACATCGCATGGATCAATGCCGGATGACAACATAATTGCCGTAATCGTAGTAAAAGCATCAAGATTTCGTGCGTTTTTACATCGGCATGCATTTTTAATAATTTGTTCTGAGCCTTCGTGAATTGCGTGTCTTTGTCTTAAAATAGAAAAATAAAAAATAGATAATGATTCTATGCATAAAAATGTATCAGTATATTTTTATTTATATTTTATTTTAGTGACTATACACATAAGTATAGTATTCTTATCTCAAATTCAATATTTAACTTACTTGGATTTGAAAGATAGGCAGGGGCATCATATTTTCCAGCATACAAATCATACATATGATCCTTCTCTGCTCTTTGAGCTAAGAACTGTGCAAACAGAGTACGAGAGTAAGCTAAAATTTTCTCGTATACTAGTTGTTCCTGCGGATCGAGTTTGACCGTCACTTCCTCGATAGATTTGTCGGGTAAAGTCTCCAAATCGCCTTTTGTTATTAATTCTTCCTTAGTTCTTCGTAACATCAAGGACTTCATGACTGTCGCCAATCTTTGATGGCCTGCAGCATTCTTGTTATCTACCCACCGCTTCCAAACGCGTAAATCATCAAATGGCGAGCACCTAAGAAACTTCAAAATAGAATATAAATCCAATGCTTTATTTTGTATAGGTGTACCAGTGAGAGCCCATCGATTCTTTGCCTTAAGTCCACAGACAGCTAAAGACGCTTGACTCTTATGATTTCTTACTATATGAGCTTCATCGAGTATCACCCTTCTCCAATTAATCTGTAAAAAAATTTTTAATTACGATTATATAAATTTCTGAATAAATCTCTTCTATTCATATTAATAAAATTTAAGATTGATGTTTTTATCAATTTATTAATTAAATGATACGTTTAAACACCAATATACCTTAAATAATGTAGATCCTGTTTTATGTTCTCGAGATAATATATTATACGTTGTAATAACTATATCATTTTTCGACAGGCGTTTAGGAACGCTCTCTCGATTGCTGCCATGATATATCTCGACGGACAACATACCGCGTTTGCATCTGTTTCGCACTTCATTATCCCATTGTGCCAATAAAGATGCAGGACATACTACTAGACTACCACCTTTATGATCTGCAAATAATCAGATACAATTTTATATCAATAAATTATATATAAAATATAATTATATACAAAATATATAAAAAATTTGTCATTTACTTAAATAATTTCACAAAGACAACAAATATTTAAAAAATATAGATTTCTGCCACATTGAAAATAAATAAATTTTCACATACATAAAGGTTTATGATTGTTACTCCACTCATCTTCGCTATCTTTGTTGTCATCACTTTCATCTGTTGAATCTTTTTGGTCAATAGTACTCATAATCAAAGATATCATAGTCAGTGTCTTACCTAAACCCATATCGTCAGCTGTAATAAAAAATAAAGTACAGAAAAATTATCAAATTTACAATATATCGTATTTAATATAAAATCGCTCACTTTGTAAGATATTTACCTAAAACGCCACCAGCCGGCTTTTGTTTTTCCCTCCACATAAGCCATTTAAGGGCGTGCTTCTGATGTGCCATTAACTGTATTTTTAATCCTCTTGGGTCTTCTGCTCTTTCATTTTCTGCCGGACGAGCTGCAAGTGATCCATGCAAATCATGTAATCGTTCAACCGTTAGAGCGAGCTCTCTATCTCTTGTCGCTTGTGCCTTCTTGCCCAATTCCCTTAATTCAGGAGATGTAGATGGTTTCATCAAATTATTAATATCCAAATATGAATCCGAATTTGAATCCGAATGATCCAAGTATGATTCATCTTTGACAAACAATGGCTCTTTTTTTATCAAATGGGATAAGGTATCTTTTGATACTTTATTGTCTTCCTTATTAAAGCTTTGCACCAAAGGTGTTCTTTCCATTTCGGCTATCAACTTTTCAATTTCTGTTTCTTTTTCACGTATACTTTCATACACTTTCTGTCCTCTGTCAGGTAATACTTCAATGTTTCCTTCAGTGAACAATGACTGAAAAAGATTTTTTATATTAAAAAAATTTTTGATATGCACAATTTATATTTATTTTATTAATTTAATTACGCAATTATTATATATAAAAGTAATGGTTTCTTTTTGTTTCTAAAATTTTACATTAACTTTAAGTAGAATTAGTATCATTTAAATAGAAATATTTACTTTTAAATTACTTAATTGAGTATTAAGTTGTTCCAATTTACAAGCCATAATTGCTCTTTTTTGTGCTACTAATGGATCTATATTTCCAACACCAATTTCTTTTTTTGCATAAGATACTGCTAGTTCAGATTCACTGTTTGGTGTCGCTCTTCCAGAACTGGAATCTACAAATGTAGATAGTATTTTCATATTTTTTTATATGAAATAATTATTCATCAATAAAAAATTAATAATACATATTTGATATTTTATAAATAAAAATACCTGAACCAAGTTCAACAGTTACATCATGAGAGGTTTCAATTTCCTGCATTTTACGATCTGATATTTCATGATCAATATTATCTTGTTTAACTGAATTATTGTTGTCAGTAAGTGATTCGTTAGAAGAATTAAGTTTTAATCCCTTTATGTCTTCTCTAGTGTTATCATGACTAATGTCCTTCCTTTTCCTATTACTGTGTACAATTGGTGAATAGGAAGGTAAAGAATCTGTAAAATGATATATGAGTTAAAATTCTGTGATATTAGTAATAAACAAACTAAAATAAAATACCATGATCTGTATCTGCAACATCTCTACCTATATCAGAATCATTAAATGTATGATATTCTTGTTCTTGACTCTTATTACTGTCTGACTCAGAATCTGTTATTGTGTTCTTTCCCTGAACTATGCGTTTAATCAAGCGAACAACTGGTGTATTTTTTTCTTCTTCTTCTTCTTCTTCATCATCATCATCATCAGTAAATTTATGTCTGTATATTTCCAAAAAAAATGTTCATATTCATATTCATTAATATTTGTTTAATAGAAAAATTAACATGTAATTATATTTATTACACATAATTCAATATATGTATATAATAAAAAAATAGAGAGAATATAGATATTAAGAGAATGTATTATTTGAGAATTCTCTCTCTCCCAAGTAAACATTATGAAAAATTCGACATTGAGTCTATCACAGCGAATATAATAAATCAATTATTAAATAAAATAAAAAAATATAGAAATTTGTATCTAGCAAAAATAATTCTAAAGATAATTCTAAAAATAAATAAAATAATATAAATATGCATACACACTTTAATATCTCCTTGTGCTAAATAAGTCGAAAAAGAATACATTTTTTTATATATAGAATTTTTTTTAACATTTAAATATTTATTCGAGAAATCTTTAAAAATTCTTTAAATAATATTTATATTCTTGCCATTCCAGATTTCTAAATATTTTGCAAAATATTCTAAGATTTTTTTATCAATTTTTATAGTTCTTGTATATATTTATTAGTCTATAAAAATATGGCAACGGATAAAGCGTCCTTGATGGATTTTCAATTCAAAAACGAAAATCTTTACAAAAAATAATTCTATATATATCTATTTAATTATTCTATATATCGATTATATTACTGATTTGCTGTGTCCAGAAATCAAATATAGAATATTTCGTCAGAGAATTGAGAAATTATACAATATATATAATAATAAAATTATAAAATAAATATCATATAATTCTAATTGTAAATTTGTTTTTTCAACATCACTTTTGCATAAGAAAATATATTCTATACTGGATAGTGTCACAATTCCTTTGTCAATATGAGACTATTCTCGCGTAACTACATCATCAGAGATGTCAAAACAATAATGGAATACTCACGTTTTCGGCGGCGTCGAGTATTCCGAAACATCGACATCTTCCTCATAACTTTCATCAATGACAAAGGCACGTTTGTCGAGTGTATCAGAATTCTCGACAAAGTCCTCCTCGTCGGTATCAGAAATTATAATAGAATCGCCGTCTAATCGGTATCTCGAAGAATTTCGCCATTCCGTAAAGCTATTCTCCATTGTTCACTGTTTTGCGACTCGAATACCTTGTATGCGTTCAATCGTCTTGTCGTATTGTCGACTTCTGTTCGTTTCTTGTTTTGCGACGAATTGTACAGACACGTTACCGGTCCGCACGTGAGACACATGCATTTTAAATCTGCTACCAACCATAATTTATACTCAAGATGAGTAAATGACAGTTGGTATTATTTGACATATAGTTCAATTGACCAATCGGAGCAAAGAAATTTTTGTCCACTTCGTCCTGATTGGTCAATCGAGAAGAATCATGTAAGTTCTCAATCTATGTTTTCACATGTTCTCAGTCCAATTTTTCATATATATAGAAGTTTATAATCTATGTATAGTCAGTGACTATCAGTCATATGTCTAAAAGTCTAAATAGTATACAGCAGTAAGCAATACATGAGTAGATGACAGATGTGTCTGTAATAATCTGTAATAAATTATTATCGCATGAAAAAAGGTTAAATAATATTTTTGAGAATTAAATTGATTCCAGAAAAATTACATTTATAATGGAATAGGTATTTGTAAATAATGGCAGCCCTAATGAAGAAACGAGTGTTAGCTGAATTTACTCAAAGTCAGGTAATTAGAATATTATATATCGCATACTGGGTTTTTTCTTTATAAAATATAAGTAAATTATGATTTTGTTATTAATCATAAAATTTTTAACTGCAGGTTATAAATGAACCGCCAACTAAACGATTAAAAACACTAAGGTTATTGTCAACAACTGGTGCAAAAAACGGTTCCGAAGGCAGTTCAGCATTAGCCTATATAGAATGTCTTGAGAAATGTAAGAGTGGAAATGATGCATTACAATTACTTGTTCGTATCTCGGATTCTATAGCATACATAGCACCGGAGGATGTTCCTATAGCTGTAAAGAAATTGACAGAAAGATTTGTTGTTGAGAGCGAAGCTGCAGTTCGAGCTAAAATTTTATGGGTATTTGCTGAATTGGGAGAAGTAACACCAGATACAGTGGAAAAGGCAAAAATTGTAAATGAAACGGCTGAACTTTTAAGAAATGAGGAATCCCATAGAGTAAAGAGTCAGGGGTTAGCAACATTATTAAAATTGGGTGATTATCAAAGGTATATAATTCCTTATCTCATTTATATCTCTTTCATTTGTTTTTTTCACTTTTTTTACAAGAAGCAATTATTACATATATACAATTAGAATTAATCTCAAAAACAATATTTGTTTATATTAATGATAAGTTAATCAGAGCATTTTATGTTTTTGTTTTTTTCAGGACACTTGTATTAAAAATTGCACAAGAGCATCTGCCTGATACATGGCATGGTGTTCAAACACGATGTCTTTCCATCATTGGACGTTATCTAACAGCAAATCAAACAGCTGCTGATGATACTTTAACATTAATTGGCAATTATGCTCGTTCTCAAGATCCAAGAGTGCGTGCTCAAGCTTTTGAAACCATGGCAGAACTGCACTCTCATAGAGGTTGCAGACTTCCAGCAAGTTTCTTTAGGGAAGCGTGTGCAGCTCTTCGAGATGATTATGAAATTGTACGCCGAGTTGTCTTGAAACTTATCTGGCTTTTGGGCAGAGAATATCCAGAAAAGTCAGTAACATTAGAGATATAAATATATTTAAAAAGTAATTTTTTTGATATATAAATCTATTTTACATATGTAAATTTACTCTTACAGTATTGTTGTTGGATTTGATGGAGAAGATATACGTATGGTGGATTGTGCTTTTTCACAAATTTGCAGTCTCATGGGTGATTTATCGCCTCGTGTGAGAGCTTCAGCAATGTCTCTTTTAGGAACCATGAAAAATGTATCTTGTCGTTATATAGAACAAGCATTGGATAAAAAACAAAAAATAGCTGATGCAGACAGACCCGAAGTTGAAGAGAAAAGTGGATCTTGTGGGGCATTTATTCATGGTTTAGAAGATGAATTTTTAGAAGTAATTTTACCATCCATAAATATAAACTTTTTACTGATATATTTAAATAATATTATAATCGAGAATTCATTTTTCAATTCAATTTTATTGCGGTTATTTAATGATTGCTTTCTATATTGATTATTTTTTGCAACTAAACTATATTTTAGGTAAGAACTGCAGCGGTTGAAGCGCTCTGCATGCTTTCATTAGAACAGCCGAGTATAGCTAGAATTTCATTGGACTTTATGGTGGACATGTTCAATGATGAAATTCAGGACGTTAGATTAAGAGCTATCGAATCTTTGAAAAAAATGTCATCAAGCGTGACTCTTCGGGAAGATCAATTGGAAACAATTTTAGGCGCGTTGGAAGATTTCTCAGGGGAAGTGAGAGAAGGTCTGCACGCTATGCTGGCTGCTAGTCATCTAGCCACCACAAATTGTCTTTACATGTGCGTTAATCGTTTGCTGGACAATCTGACTCGTTACCCTCAGGATAGAGAAAGCATCAGGAGTTGTCTGGCGGCATTAGGCGCGTCACATCCGTACTTAACGTTGCCTCTAGTACCGCAACTTCTCGGCCGACATCCTTTCTTCGACACACCCGAACCGGATGTAGACGAACCGTCCTGTATCCTTTTTTATATTTTCATTGCGTAAATATCGTCTTAGGACGGCATTCATAATTTCGTTCTAGGTTTTAAAATTGCATTCAATATGCATCCTTAATTTTATTATAACAGATGCAAGTGTGCTCGTTTTAATATTCAACGCCGCGTTACATTGTCCAAGTATGCACGCTTTATTTACGGAACATGCCTCCAAGCATTATCACTATTTGCGCGATACTATGCCGCATCTAGTTCCACGATTACGACCAGCACTTACGAGCGGCTCAGGAATTAAGATGGAAGATATGGATAACGAAGAGAATAAGGATAAACGTGGCCGAGAGTTTTTGGAGAAGATGGTAGCTGGAATTGAGAATGCCAGACCAGGAGGCAAAGTTCACACACAGCTTTTGGAAGCCGCGGCGATTGACCTTGATCGTTTAGCAGAGATGGATCATCACATGGAAGGTGCAGCGCGTTTCACCGCTCTATATATTCGATGTCTGCTGTTGCTGAAGTCCGTTCTCAAAGAATTTTCCATCTTATCGGGGACGTCTGTCTCGGCCAGTCCAATACCAAATACTAGCAACAACATTTCCGTTCTTCTTCAACACGCGCAAAAGTACGTGTTTTTCAACACACATTCATCGAAAGTCGTTTTGTTACACTGTATAAAGAATTTTCATATAATAAGTAACGTTATGCTTATAAATGTGTCATTTTCGCATTTTATTTTTTAGATTACAACGCTTGTTTAGTGGATTAGGTGAAACTGAAATGATATTGGCCAATGATATGTGGTTGAAAGTACTATCTATAGAATTGGTCAGAGTGACCAAGAGTGCGACCGGTAGCGCGTTACCACTGGCTCGTCATTTTCTATCGGAAGCCGACGCTTTGCCTCAAGATACATCGAGACTACCGCCATTTTCCAAAGCTCTGGTATTACAAATACCTAGTCTAGCGGATGTAAAGCCAGGTTCCTTGACTCGGCTCCTGCTACCGTTGCTCTTGACGCCGATGGCGCAAGGAGATGAACGATTGCCAAGGCCATCGGCAACAACACGTTTTTGTCGAGCGCATATCGAGGAACCAAGGGGCGACGCCGACGCTGCGTTAAAGTTCACGGGCGGTCTTTTATTAGGAATCCCTCTGAACGCCAAGATATTGAACCTACGCGATCCAGCTACACTACGAATAAAGCTGAGGCATCCGGATCAACAAGTGCAATTATTATTACCGCGACAGTCGGACTTGCGTATGCAGCATTCCGATCAGAAAGATTATAGATTGAGAACGACGGTTCTTCTATCGCATCAAGTTTGGATGGAGCCTTGTAATGTAGAGATTTCTCTTGCATTATTGGTGCCATCGTCATCGATTTGTACACATCCGCCTTTAGATGACCCATGCATAATTGATCTATGTAAACCCACTAAGGTATCAATTGCACCGAAAGCCATTAAAAGAGGCATATGATTATACATTATTATTACAATAATCATCTGTATACTTCTCTTTTCAATAGTTTATTTTGTACATGTCTTTATAGATTCAAATTTAATATTTTATTCTATTTTTCACTTGAGTGAGAAATAGCAATAAAAAGTATAAGATAATAATTGTATTTTGTCATTACCTCTCGCTTAATACAAACAATCAAGTAGCATTCATTCGTCTATGCTCGAATTATAATATTGAATTAATTTCTCGATTTGAATATTTTATTATAAAATCTAATTTTGTTCTCATTTATTACAACAGTACAAGGTATATAATATAGAACATATTTTTTTTTTTTTTTTTTTTTTTATCATAAAAAGTATCTTTCTGAATATAAAACAATACGCATACAATTCGTAATTACATCATTCTTGGCTTCTATTCAGTGTGAATGATATATAATAATTTTAAAAATAAATTAGCCGCGCAACCGTACTTTATTCACCTCCAACTAGAGAACGAGCTGCCGCTGAAACAAAATAATTATTATTTGTATTTTTACATGTTTTTTCTTCCATTATCAATATTGTGTGACCGATTTAAAATCGATTAATAATTTAAAATTCATTAATATTAATATAAATCCTACATACGCAGTGAATGTAGGTTTCTCTGGTTCTGGATTCTTTTGGGCTAAGCTACCAAAACTGAGACCACCCGATTGATTGGCCAAAGATTCAAATGTACTACTGCCTGATACTTCTCCGAATACTTTTGGCATGTTTTCCATTGTAGAACCACCTTGCATAACGGATGCACTTCCAAATCCTATTTAGAAAATTATGTTTTATTATGCTAGGTTTGCGGAACGATGTAATTAACTATCTAACATTTAGAATTAATTTTTGTTTCATAAGAATATTGTATACACATTTTTTAGTTAAATTTAATGCAATTAATAATAAGATTCTCCTCTCTTTTTACTCGTATGAAAATCTTTGAAGATAGGAATGTCAAATGTTACGTATTCGCGTATATTTTGAAAATATAATATAAAAACTATAGTTTTATATATATATGTATGTATGTATGTATGTATGTATGTATATATATATATATATATATACCTATCCCAGGAGACTCAAACGTAGGAGCTGAACCAAAACTACTTCCGAAAACAGGCTTTGACCCTCCGAAGATTGGCGATGAACCAAAGACTGGTTTGGTGCCGAAGGTAGAAGCCTGTCCGAAAGCGGCTTGATTACCGCCAAGTACAGGTTGCTGTATTGGAGACGTGTTAGGCATAGTAGATCTGAAGACATTCGTGTTCGCGGAAGTACCGATCAACGGAGACGCGTTACTCGTCGCACCACCAAATGGAGAAATAGTTGGAGAGGTGTTTGTCGCTCCGCCGAACATGATCCCGGATTTCGGTGTACCGGTGTCGAATACAGATCCCGAGGGAGATGCTGATGTACCGAACGCATTACCCCCAAAGATATTTCCACTCGGGGAGATAACGGTGCCGATCCGAAGATGGAGTTCATACTGTTGCCTCCGAATATAGAAGTATTGGAGGATGTTGGAGCGGGCACGTTGGAGAACACAGAACTCGGGCTATTACCAAACGGCGTTGACGCAGGATTGATTATTGGCTTCCCAAAGACGTTCATCGCAGACGGCGAGGATATCTGAACGTTCGGGAATTGTGCATTTGACACAGGAGATGCTATCGGGCTGTTTTTACCGAAAGCCGGCGTGATCGAGACTGCTGCTGCTGTCGCCGCCACCGTCGTTGTCATCGTCGTCGTCGATGTCGTCGCCGTAGGAATGCCGAATGGAATTGTACCCGCAGAGGTACTATTGGGATTAATTCCAAAGCTCGTGGCTGATATACTGGTGACGGTACTTTCACCAAACGTTGGCTTATTTAAGGAACTCTGGAAAGGAGCCGGAGTGCTGCTACTGACAGATGTTGCCGATGAAGAAGCGATAGTAATACCGGCGGACGTGTTCGACGCGAATCCACTGAACACCGATGCGGTCGATGCCGGAGTTGACGTTCCAAATGTAGGTGTAATCGACGGAAAAGCGACTGCACCAAAGTTCGTCGTTGTAGCAGGCAGTGTCGTACTCGTCATTTCTGGAAGAGCACTCTTTATGAGAGCTTGGCCGCCGAATATCGATGTCGCAGATAATGAAGTTGGAGGAACCTGAGTAGCTATGGATCCAAAATTAAGTGCTTTCGCTTCTGACGTGGTGATTTTCTCAATGGTGACCGGGTTGATGGATGGTACCTCCATCGATTTACGTTGAGCGATGCTAGGATCTACAATACTGATAGTAAGTCCGCCGATAGTTGTAATAGGTGTAACAGCAGTCATCGTGGGAGCCTGTGTTGTTATAACAGGAGCCAGCGCAGCAAAACTCGGGGAAGTCGCGATCGTGTTTATCTTTCCGTCGACGTTGTTGTTCGAGTTCGTCGGTTGAAGAGTCAATGACAGAATCGAAAAATCTATCGGTGTTTGCAGTGGTGTTTGAACCGCCGGTGCGGATGGTTCCACGGGTGGTTTCGCATAAGCGAAGGACAGAGTCGCCGTGTCGAGCGCAATTCCAGAAGATGAATTCTTCGTAACAGATGGAACTGCGTTAGCGAAACTGAATGTAGCAGCAGCGTCTGTTTTCACGGCTGGTGCTACGGAGAGCGATGGAAGATTACGAGTAATTCCAATACGAGCAGCCTCCACTAACGGATATTCCGTTGATAACACATCCTTCAATATTCCAGTTGAGGCTAAAGCGGATTCCGCGACTTTAGGGATGCTATCGTTGATCGTAGATTCTTTATTGCTTCTAATAGTTGCATCTATAATAGGAGATTTTGGAAAAATGGTATCTTGAGCTTTCAGCGCTGGCGTTCCAAACGTGATAGACGACGGAAAGTTAACATTAAGATCCTGCTTCGGTTTGGACTGGGATGTTATGGAAGCTGCTGTTAGAATAGGCTTCTTATCCGTTTGTTTAACAGACATCGCGGGCGAAAAAGAAACGGTTGCAGGAAGCGGCTTCTGCTGAGTTGTTTTGTTCTGAGTAACAATACTATTGTTCGTATCAGACGAACCGATTCTCGCAACGATACTATTTAACGAAGCAAGGGGATTCTGTGGCTTAATCTGCTTTTCGACCACTGTCTGCTGCTTGACGACGGTACTTTGTTTAACAATTGGTGGTTCGGTCTTGGTCTTAGCCTCAGTGACCGCAGGACTGAGAGACGCTAGGGAAGACAGTGTGGCTTTTAAACGATCTTGAATCGGTGACGGATTTTCCGGCTTGATAGTTCTCGGGGAGGATAGGTCGGTGAGCAATGCCTTTAGCTTGATTTGCTTTTCACGCGTGAAACTTAAAGTTCTCGAGGCGATGGTTTTACAATGAACGTCAATAACGTCGGTTTTTCGTACGGTCGATGATTTTTCATGCGAATTCAAATGTAAATTCACCATCGAACGATTGAGACTGGATATATCACCAGTCGTGTACTGCGCTGAGCGATTGTGAGATTTCCACCGTCGCGAAATTTTCTCGAGCTTCTCTTTTTCTTTCATAATAATCTTGTTATGAATCAGAAGATTCTGATACACGTATTCCAAGCTAGGAATCTTCATCTTCGACCTCTGCTGTGCTTTATGATCCGACCATTCCAGATCCAAAATTTTACTAACTTGATTGAGCTGCGTCTGGGTGTAATAATAACATCGTTGTAGTTCTGCTATCTTACTGTTATCGTTGCAATTTCTTCCAGTAATGTCGGTAGTAGCTGCATTCTTTGATTTAGTTTCTTCGACCCATGCAAACGATTGAAGTAACAGAGCCTTTAAGTATGCTATATCACTGGACAAACTATTAGTAGTGTCTTTCAAATCTCTCAAGAATTGTTCTATGACGGCGGATGTCTCTCCGAGTCGTTTCTTTTCTTCGTCCGTGCCACATTCCCATACTTGCGATTCCAATCTATTTCGTAATTCTTTCTCGAACAATACTTGCTCTTGCAAATAAGCTCGCATTCGTATACCGTCATCTATAGAAGCTTTCTGTTCTATCACTTGCGGCGAGCTTGCTTCTTTATCTATTACTACTGATTTAGTTTCTGTTTTTGTAGGTTCTAGCACTGTTTCTTTGGATACAACGGGCTTTGTGATCACGAGTGGCGCTGTCTTTTCTTCTTGTAACTTCGGTTGTATTGTCGGCTGCTCTACAGGTTGTTGAAAGAATCCTGCTGCTTTCAGAGAATCGCCAAATATATTCGTCATCGGAGCGGTCTTTGATCGTTCAGGCACGATCTCCGGTTGCTTCGGACGTGGTGTACTGGTCACCGCAGAGTTCATAGTAAATGATACTTCCGTGGACAAAGTACTAGGCTGCAACGGAATTGGTGCCGTAATAATCTCCGTAGGACGTACATTGATGGCGGGACAATTGGGTGCCAAGTTGACCATGTGAAAGCTACACAATTGTCCAGATGTTCCAAGAATATGTAAAATGGGGACTGGATGTGGCAATGTGGACTCTGTACCCCATGGTAATTTGTTAGTTGGAGATTTATCCACAGCTAGACCCATAGGATAAATTTCCGTGGTTCTCATCAAAGGCAATTGAGCCCTACCACTATCAACCAATTGCCATTGATTCCAATTTGCGCCTCCATCTATAGTTCCTAACACAGCTATCTCACTACTGGTGCTACTACCCGCTATGATAAGTCCCCATTCTGGCACATGCTCAAAATAATAACGAAGAACACTTCCTTCTCCCTCGGCGTCAGGAAAACCATATGTGATATCTTCATAACATGTAAATGTAGCGTTTACTTCTCCTTTTGGTGCATCAATGATGAGAACATTTGTGTGTCGTTCGCTGTTCAGATACGCAGCACAGAATTGATAATTACTAATCCACAATATACTAATCACTTCTCCAATAGATGGCAAGGGACCCGCGATAGTTCTAGCAACTTTCAAGGTATCTGGTTTCAGTTGTACAATATCTCCATTTCTGCAACCTACTGCTACTTGTTTGCCTTTGGGACTCCAGGCTGCACACAGAGCCTGTGGTTCGTTCGAGATTTTTGACAGTACAGATATTTTTGGTACAGAATTTTCTCTTGCTTCTTCATCTACTTTTATTTGGAAACTGCCAATAGTACAATTACTAGTGACAGTGCAAAGCATTGTAGGTACAGTAGGATTCCATCGTATATCCATCACATAACTGTCTAAATTGTTGGATGATGTTATTTCAAGTAACAAGTTAAGAATCTGAAAATTAATATATTGATTAATAATGAAACATATTCAATTTAAAAATATCTATAACATAGTAGTAATTTAAAATTTTCAAGACTTGAAAAATTATACGTGCATACATTTCTAACTAGTGAATTGGCATCATATATAAATATTGTAGGCTTCAGTGCTACTGCTACAGCAATATAATTATAATCACAATTAATTGCAATTTTTGATATAACGCCTGGTAATTGAAGTTCTATCTTCCATTTTGCATTATTCTCCTCTGCTGGTTTTAAGACAGTAATTTTATCATCATGTCCAACATAAAGTAATCCTCGTTTTTTGTCAGCCACAAGAAGATTACATGCGGTAGGAATATATGCAGGAGTTTTTAAATCAAATATTTGGGATGTATTTGATTGTTTAAATAGAAATTCCTGAAATAAGAACAATAATGAATAAGAGTTGATAACCATTTGCACTTACATACATACATATATATATATATATTTACTTTATAGTATTTAACAAAAATTTGCTATTTGATTTTTATATCGAAAACAAACATTACATAAACCTTTTAAAAATTATTTATCGCATTTAAAGACTTTGTTAAGCAATAAATTGATATACACATACTTATATAATCTAATTTTAGTCTAATATTTAGACGCTTTAAAGGTCACTATGTCATTTGTACAAATATCTATTAAATGTTCATACAATCAACAAAAAAATAATTTATTTCGTGAGAGAAAACGAGTTAAAAGAATATAAAATAGATGATTGTAAGTAATTGCGTGTGTGATATAGTTTTCAATCAAAATGAAAATATTTAATACATTCGCGCCGGTTTTACTACGATCTACTAGACATATGATTTCTGTTATAATAAAGTAACGCATGATACCTGCACATATATTGGATCCGGAGCTGTCTTCATTTCTAGATGTTTGACAATGTTTTCTCATAAATAACGAATAATGACAATAAATGAGATCAACGTATATCCAATGCGGAATACACGTTTTAACCAAACTTCAACAGATCCAACAAGCACTAAAACACAATTTTCATGATAGCAGCGCAATATTTTAGATTGCGAAAATATAAAATGGTCGCATTCACAATAATGCATTAAACCTGTATCACACTGTGCATTGAAAATTTGTCCCATCTTGATTGACCAATAAAAATACAGTAAATTTTTCTGAGCAAAGCTTTAACTTCGTGCAAACAAATCAAGCTTATAGATATATGTATACAAATATACATTTGACACCTAAAAATAAGCTATGCTTATCAGATTTTTAATGCAACTATGTAAAATCAAAATTAAAATGATCTAAATTAGTGATTTTTTGTTTTTTTATTTTTTGAGAGAGAAAAAGGAGAGTATTCTTTATCAATAAAAAATTAACCTTGCCACGTTGATGAACGGCTCACAATTAACAACTTGCATGTGCTTTAATTAATTCGAATATTTAAATAAAAAAAAGAAAGAAGAAATAATGAATAAATCATTGTTTTGATTTTTCATACATAAAACAGTGTAAATAAAATACAACGCAAAATGTCAAATAAAATGGTATTTGTTACAGTTGGCACAACAAAATTTGATAATTTGATAACTACTGTATTAAGTCGTGTAGTTTTAGAGGTACATGTTATTTAACAATATTATATATATTTTTTTCAATGTAACGATTGATTCTCTACTTTACATTATATTATATAAAATATAATTCGTTATAATGTAACTGTTATGCTTATAATGATTGCAATTTTAGGCCCTATCAGCACGTAATTACAGACATCTGATTTTGCAAATTGGCAATAGCAGTTTAGAACCAGATTGCACTGCACGTCATGGTTTCCATAAAATAGAAACATTTAAATTAAGTCCATCCATTGGAAAGTACATGGAATCGGCAGATCTTGTGATAAGTCATGCAGGTGCGGGAAGTGTACTGGAAGCTTTGGAAAAACGCAAACCTTTAATTGTAGTAATTAATGATCTTCTCATGGACAATCATCAAGTAGAATTAGCCGAGCAACTATACAAGGATGAATATTTATATTACTGTACTTGTCAAAAATTGCTGGACATTGTACAAACAATGGACTTGACAAAATTGAAACCATTTGTTAATGATAAAAGCACAGATATTGCTAATTTTATTAATAAAATAATGGGATTTAGGTGATGAAATAGTTTTATCTTTCATAGAGAATATAAGAATATTGATTGTTTTATAGTGATAAAAGTAGCTGTGGGAACAAACAGCAATATTTATATATATATTTCAATTTTTAACATGTTTTACAATACATGATCCATTAGGATACATGATCCATAGAGTTTAGATTTATTAATGTGTAATATATTATGCTTGATATAATTTACAATAAAAATACATTATATACTTAAACAACCGTTCTTCAAAAACTATACATTACATATCATAGAAAAATTTATAACTTTGCATGTTAAAAATTGTGACAGATCAATGGCAGTTTAACGTTCCCTCAGACAATTTGTAAATTATTCTTAATAGATATCTGTCACTATTAACGCAACAGCTAATTCTTTAAAAATATTATAAATTATTATGCTTGCAAATAAACTCAGTTCTTTAAAAATATCAGTTATTTTCTATATTTAACTTTGATCTATATAATATATATATATATATATATATATATATATATATATGTATGTGTATATATATATATATATGGCAATGAGAACAGTTGATATATTATTAGTAAGTGAAATAATTTTCATACATTAATATATTTACACTACTATGTTCTGTGTGAGTTATTGCTGTATGGTGTACTTTTAATTTATTTTTCATGAAGATACATGAACAAGAAGAAAACTACACAGAATTATAGTAGTGCATGTTTTAACCAACCAAACCAAGTCGTGTCATTTCCTTCAGAAGTTCATTACCCATTTGTGCAGGACTCCTTGTCACTATTACACCAGCCTAATAATTAAGTTCATGTATATCATTCAATTCGAAATTTTTTTTACATATGCCAATGAGATATGTATATGTAAATTGTTACTCACTTTTTCAAGTGCATTAATTTTATCTTGTGCACCACCCCTTCCTCCTGAGATTATAGCACCAGCATGTCCCATTCTTCGTCCAGGTGGTGCAGTAATGCCAGCAATAAATGATACTACTGGCTTAGCTTTTCCACCCTACAGCATAATACATATGTTATAAAAATGTAAGTAACTCATGATATATTAAATTTTATGATGAGCTCAAAAACGAATTAAGACAGGATTTGGATACTAATAATTTGGTTAGGATAGACTGGAATTTAAATACTAATAATTGAGAACAGCAACCAACAGTATTCTTTTCGATGAGATATTCTGCTGCTAATTCTTCCGCACTGCCACCAATCTCTCCTATCATCATGATACCAGCACACTCTGGATCAGTAAGAAATACATCTAAACAATCGATGAAATCAGTACCATTGAATGGATCACCTCCGATACCCACACATAATGTTTGCCCAAGTCCAGCCTTAAAACAAGAAGCATTTCTGTAATATATTTAATATCTTATTAACATATATTTTAATTATTGAAATATATACTTACAAGAGTCGTTTGATTCACAGCCTCATAAGTTAGAGTTCCTGATCTTGAGACAATACCAATCTTTCCTTTCTGATGTATATGGCCAGGCATAATACCAATTTTACACTAGAACATTATATAAAACAAATAAATAAATATATTACTCTAACATATAATAAATATTGTATTCTAGAAAATCAGACATCTAAAGTTATTTCTGCATACATACCTGTTCAGGTGCTATGATTCCAGGACAGTTTGGACCGATTAAACGCGATTTATTTTGTTCGAGTAATCGTCTTTTTACTTTAACCATATCATGCTGAGGAATACCCTCTGTAATACAAACGATTAAAGGCATCTCAGCATCAATTGACTCCATAATAGCTGATGCTGCAGCTGGAGGAGGAACATAAATAACTGATGCATTAGCTCCTGTTGCTTCTTTCGCCTATAAAATATAATTAATTTAAATACTATAGTAAATAAATAAATAAATATTGTAAAAGAATAGCGATACTCACTTCTTTAACTGACTTATACACTGGTTTTCCAAGATGCTCCGTACCTGCCTTTTTGGGACTAACTCCACCTACTATCTTTGTACCATAATCAAGAGCTTGTTGACAATGGAAAGTTCCTTGCTTTCCAGTGAAACCTTGACATATCACTTTGGTATTTGCATCAATTTTTAAATTCTTCCTAGTTTCCGTATAGTTAAATCTCACCTGAGAGCGTAATAAACTTCCACAGTTCCTGACTAAAAAATTATAAAAGATAATTGAAACATCATATAATGATAATAAATACTAATAAGTCTATTACAACAAAATCAAAATATTGTGTATGAGTTACACATAAATAGAATTGTATATATGTAATACTTAAAATATATACAAATATGATATAAAAAAACTCATTATACAATATATAACTATCTCTCAAAGCAAAAATATTTAACAATATTATATAAAGATTGAAAATAAAAAGTACATTTATATTGCTATTATTATTTTAGTAATGTCAAAATTCAAGATTTCTAGCTTCAAAGTCTTATTATTTCAAATTATATGTAATGAATGTTATCTAACATTTCACAAGTTCATGAAAGAAAATAATGAGCAAATTGATTGAAATGTATACATAAGTAATTTAAAACATTCAGTATTATAAGAAAAGATAAGATTAATATGTATATGAAAGGATAGATATCGTTAAAATTAATCGCACGAGAATTATCGTCATGATTATTATGGGGAGAACAAATCATCCAATTGCTCCTCGTATAACACAAGCTTGCACATTACTCTTAATTAAAGGAACGAGCATTTTCCCACAAAATGCGATTCTCCACGGTGGAACTATGCCCTTCCTTATATAATAAAATATTATTATGACAAGCGCGGGCTGTCAGCATTATTTTTAGTCCGTTCAGAGGCTGCGCATGGCGTAATCACGATAGAAAAAAAGGCTCAGGACATTGCTGTTCAAATGTGCAAGAGTTCAAAGGAACCTTGGAGAAACGGGGAGATATCACGGGATCATACGAGAAAAATTAACGCGCTCACCTGTAAATTTTGAAAATGCCCTGGCAGCCACAGCCATCTTTCAGTTTATCCTTTCCGCTGAGAAGGCAATGTTGAAAATTAAATTAATAACGGGCCACCATTAAAAGTAATATAGGTACTGCGATCTGAGGAAAAGGTCAAGTCCAGGAGAGAGAATATCATATACAGACGAACACAGATATTCGTGCGGAGTTGGCTCGATCGAACCATGAACTTACAAAGAAAATAGAAATAGAATGGTGGATAGCTCTTTAAATGTCTCATCAGCTGATTGGCTGTGCACGAAGAACTTGTTCTACTGACGAATCTTTCCATTTCGTCTCTTTTATTAAATATTAATTATTTAATAAAATATAATCTGTCTTTTTTTACGCTGCAGTTTGATATTTTAAAACTCGAACAAGGTTTGCTTAAAAAATTAGGACAAATATTTTTTTTATCGATCAAATCTAAATTTTCAAGTCTTTCAATCTCAATTATTATATCTTTTTTTGTTTCATATTTGCAAATAATTAATTTTGTATACATATTTCGAGTATAATATAATAGAAGATTGTATTTTTAAAAAAACCCTAGACAGAGCAGGTGCTGTGATTGGACAATCGCAGAAAGGACGTTTTCTATTGGATGTTCTTGATATACAGCGCGAAAAGCATCGACCAATCGAAGCGGAGACATCTCTATTCTGATTGGTCGCTCAAAATGCTTTCGCAATTCATGCGAATGCAGCCCTAGAATACCTGCGATGCAAGAGAGTCTGAAAAGGTAGTATACTGTACGATCAACGGAACTTTTGAATAGCGAGCGTAGTTGACGAAAGGTACGATTGATGGTATCGCGACTGCCAGATGTGCACATTATGCCAACAGGAAGAGAGATCCGTCTCTCTACGTCAGTCTACGTAAATTCTTTTCGATTTCATTATCATTATTTTTTACTGACATAAAAGAAATATATAAGTATATATTCGCGGTTTTGTTTTTTTTGGATGGATAGCAGTTTAATCAAATTTGTAGTGTCTCGAATTCCAAGGTAATATCGACAAGTACGTGGAAAGTATGATATATAAGTGACCGGAGTCACGGAAAATAAATCTTATAAAAATGACGTGGTGAAGATATGCTTATCGTTTGATGAAAGTGTCCAAGGAATTACAAGGTAAATGCATTTTCGGCGTACCACGAATTATTTCATCGTGGTATTGATCCAAGATTTTAGCGTAATAACGTGTAGCAAGAGAGAGATCTCGGAGATATATGTCTAAAGTTTCATTATCTTTGATAGTGTCAATGCACAACTTGCTTCCTGTAATTCGATATTGTTCTCGGTATCGAAGTTGTGCAACGCGCTAATATTGCTATTAGGAACGGAAAATTTTCAGTCGTCCGGAGTAAGCTCCTATTCTGATTATTGCTACTGTAGATTTGCATATGCATTCGAAAAAAATTATTTTATTACAAATTAAAATTTGCGCATTATATAGTAACGGTATATTTTAAGAATTAGAAGAATTTAGTCTAATTTTAAATTTCTTGTAGAAGTAGAATGGAGGAAAGTACAAGTTCGCGAAATGTCTGGCATAAAGATAAGCCTGAGGAGCAAAATGAGCTGTTTCAAGGAGAATCCACTACTGCGTCTGTAGAAGCTAATTCTACATCATTAGCCGATATATTTGATACGGCATTTACATCAACAGTTGATCCATCTCCACAATCTCGGTTTCCTTCTGGTATATGCGAAATCTTGATAACTTTTTAATCAAAACGTTTTTATCTGTGCACATATATAGTATATTTTAATTATTTTTTATTATAACATCATATATGGTACAAGATAAATCAAATATATCTTATTTGTAGGTAATGAAATGGAGTATGAGCATTTATTTGCAGACAGTGATATTGAAGAGTCAGATGTAACAGCTATAGATCCTTATACAAATTCAGCTCATCCTACTGCTTCTGAGAATAATTTTGTTTATGGGGATTATTTAACACAATCGGATACAACTAATGATTCACAGGAATATTGGCAACCTGATCTCTTAAATTGCAATATGTGCCAAAATAGACAAGATAGAAATTCTAAGAAAGAGCCATCTACTCGACAATTGAATAATTCGTGCGAAGAGAGATTATGTAATAATTATAGGACAAAAAGAATTATGCATGATCGTGATTTAGCAATTGAACATAAAACTAAAAGAAGCAAAGAGCAAAAATTATTGAATGGTCAACAACCAGATAATTTGAGTATAGCTGGACCATCTAGATTATCAGATCATCCTATTCCAAATAAGTACGCATATAGCTTATATATATATTAATATATTTGTATGCAACGGTTTCTTTTTTGTAATATACTATTAATATATAAATATTTTATTTGCAGTATAACAAGATCAACAGCAAACATAGATCCTATACAGCTTCTAGAACATGTAGGTGATCATAATTTGAGTATGGCTATTAGTTTACATCCTTCAGCATATTCAAATGTGATGGCTCCTCAAGAAGCACATTCATCTCGTATGTATATATTATAGCATTTATAACATACTAAATATACTTATTAGTAATACTAATTATACTAAGTATACTCATTTGTAAATAATTAATTTTTTAAATTTTAATAGAAAACGATGATACACCATCAGCACCAGATTTGCAATTAGATTGGTCCTCTAGTAGCGAAAGTGATGATGAAGACAGTTCAGTTGAAGTACTAGGTACTGTTAATCATAATGTCAAGGTATGTAATATATAAAAATAATGTAGTAAATAACATTTTGATTATATAAAACCTTTCAAAAGTATTATGTATATATTATTAATCTTTTTAATATTTACGTACTATTAGTATATATATATATATAAAAACTTTATTTAAAATAATTAATTTTTTACAATGTTATAGAATACATTAGAAAATACGAATGAAGATAATCGTACAGTTACTGTAGTTGACTTAACTGTAGAATCTGATGAAGAACACACACCATCTGCATCGACAAATCCTGTAGTTAGTCCGAGATCGACAGATTATAATCATAGGTGAATATGTGTATTCTCATAAAATTGTGTGTATACATGTATATATGTATGTGTTGGTATGTGTGTGTTACACTTTATATTAATTTAATTAAATATGTTGTAATTGTTTTTTTATCAAATTATAATTATTTTTTTATATTATTAGAATAGTATATAATCTATAATATATCATAATATAACATATTTTTTAGAAGTAATCCCCCCTGCATGCATGGACTCACCCCTATTGGAGATTATTGGATGGATTATCATATTGAAACACTTAGATATCAACATAATAATACACATCATAGAGGCACATGTCACAGAATGCCTGCTCATTCACGTTATGGATCTGTAGGAGGTAAGAAAATTTTTCAGAAAAATGTTTATCATTTATTAATATATAAATTTATTTAATCAGCTATATATATATATATATATATATATAGCTTTAATATATATATATATATAGATTTAAATATATAAATAAAATTTTTACAAAAAATATATATATATATATTTAAATACAAAAATAAAAAGATTTTATTAATTTATTTAGATACATCTACAAATGTAACAAGACCACGTATGCATCCACTTCAAGAAAGATTATGGGTAAATCAACAACGCATGCAAGAAGTGCATAGACGAAGACTTTATCATAGATTTTCGTCGCATCACGTCGCGTTAGTGTTAATTTTATTGTACTATATTATATTTTATGTGGTAAAATATATTCTCTATTCATAAATCATACTTTTAGTAATTCGAGACCAGGAAATACTCATTTACATTCATCGACGTACGTCAGTCGTAGAAGTGGTGAAAACAGCAGTCCTTCGAATGCTCGATGTAACAATGGAACTGATAGTGCAGCATATACCGAAAATTATCTTCCACCTATTTTACCGCCGCCGCAACAACCTACTGTTTATAGCCATCCAGAGGCTCGAGGGCCACCTAATTTCTATAGAGGATCATGCCCTATGCTACCTATAATCGTAATTTGATTTTTGTTAGAATATAACATCTTTTAATATTATATCTTAATATAATTTGTATTTTTATATTATTTACAGGTAAATCCATTGAATGGCGTGGAAGAAATGGAACAGACTCCTCCAGTGATGTTACCCTCAATGCCAGTGCATCAACATGTACATCATCATATGTATCATTATGATCCGCATCAACGACCGTCGCAACGTATGCATCACGTTCATATTAGTTTCCATCCTCATATGGTACGTAGTTTTTTTATTGTCAAAAGTATTTGTATGTAATAGATTCAATTTATCTATCTAGATTCTAGATTGTATTCAATTTATTTTATTTTACATATACAGCAAGGATCTGGAACACATGATATGGTACCGTTTCCACCGTTGGGTCTATCGGATTTTGTATTACAAGGAGCGCGTCATATGTCTGCTCGACTTGATAATTATATGCGCATTGTTGATTTCCGACGTATGGCTCATATAAGTTGTGGGGCTACACAAGAGTCTATTGAAAGCCACACATTCCCACATAAATATAAACGGGTAAAAATAGATGCTTATAGTGAACATTTTTATTATATGTTACATGTATAAGAACAGTCAATTGTATAATGCTACAATATGTTACATAAACATATCTGTTTGTAGGTAAAAAAGGTCGAAAATGGAGAAGATGCTATCGAGAAGTGTACAATATGTTTATCCGAATTTGAAGATTGTGAAAATGTCAGGTAAAATTTAGCTTCAGAATTTTTATATAGCTTTAATTTTAATAAATTTTATAATATATAATATATACATATATTTATTAAATATAATATATATTTATTTTTTATAGGAGGCTTCCATGTATGCATTTATTTCATATCGATTGTGTTGATCGATGGTTGTGCACCAATAAACGTTGTCCTATATGTCGAGTGGATATCGAAACTTTTCTCCATAAGGAGTTCACTACTTCAATATAGTTTAAGGTTTTTCATATCTGCCTCTTTTTAAAATATAATCAGATATAATTAAATATTTATATACATATACACATACATATATACAATATATATGCATGTATGTATGTATACATGATATCAAATATTTCTCAAGATGGTCCATTCAGGAGAAAATGTACTGGGTTACCATTATTATTATGAATTAATGGTGTAAAAATGTTATCGATAATCAAAATAATAACGAAACATGAGCTGAGTTCCTCAAGAAGACAAGAAGAGTTGTCAATGTTCAATTTTAATACATCTCTAACTATGGTTAGTTTTATGCTTAATGATGATAAATGAATATAAATGAATATAATGAAGACTAAATTTGTTTATACATTTACTGATTTGTCAATATTTAATTTTAATCTATGACGTAAAAATCTGTAAGTTTAAAATAACTTCTATAACTTTACAAAAATATATATCTTTGAGTATAAGATATACTTAAAAATATACACAAAGATATATACATAGTTTGACAACTCGATTTGATTCTATGTCGACATAATACTTCTGGTATACAATACATACTATATAAATTATATGCATTCAGTGTACTCAATTTATGAAAATATTGAAATTTCTATTGTAAATATTTTATTGATATCATGTAAATTTTTGTAATGCTTGAATTAAATTTGTGGCCGTGACAAAATTCTAGTATTACATGTTATATTACTAATAACAATTTACAGAATAGCTTGGTTTTAATTTTGTTTTTTTTGTATATTAATTTGTACCAATAATATGCTTATAAAGCCCTGATTTTAGATATTATAGGTATATAATATTCTAGGTATATAATATTAACTTAGATCTGAATATTGAAAAATTTTATTATTTGCAATTTACTATCAATCATCCTTTATATGGGAGAGAATATTATTAGTGTGTTGTTCAAATTATATTTGTAATATATTATTCTTCTTTTTGAAACTATTATTCAAACTAAAGTAGAACACAGCGCGCCATTTAAAATAATAAATAATGCCGAAAATATGACAGGTTTACTATAAAAACAAATAATTATTGATATTAAATTTATTCGATTACTATTACCTATGCTAAGCCAAAGACTTAGCCTAAGTTATAAACATAAAACGAGTATTTGACCTATAGAATGAGTAAGCAATTTTAAATTAAAGTTAATCGCCATTGTATCTATGAAAATTGCAGAAAAAATCACTATATTGTCAGGCCTTATATATATTGTCATTCTTGTATATATGTTATGTTACATAATAGAATCAAATACTGTTCTCTAGTTATAATAATCATAGTAAAAACTTTTATCATAATAGAATATCTTCAGTATTCAAATGATACTGTGACACAAATTATTTTGTCAATGTGCGATATAAAATGTAATATATAATAGATAACATGAAAATAACGTGAAAACACATTGTATAATGTCTAGAGGATTTTCTGTTGCTAGTTTGATATTAAAGAATGAATTAAGAAGGAAAGAGAAGTTTTACATATTATTACAAAAATAGATTATTATAAAAATTTGAAAGAATCATATTTATACACACACATACACATATATTTCTACTTAAATTATAAATTTCATTATTTCTGATTAATATTATAGTGATTTCACATTTGTAATTTGTTTCATTATTGATGAATGATTATCGTCATATAAAAGCATTTTTACACTGCCATACACAAATCATCTACTAAAATTATTCATCAAAATCTATTTATTAAAAGGACGAATATAATTCTGACCATTGTATTTTAAACAACAAATTTTACAACAATTGTTTAATTGAATATATTTATAATTCGTATATATATACACACAATTAAAATTTCGGAAGCGATAAGTGCAATGTGTTCTGTTTTAAGGATCATATAGAAATGAAATGATATATTTGCCATATACAATCAAGTAGTTAGACAATTAATCTCTTGACGCGCGACTTATTTTATTAAATAATAAGAGCACAAATAGAGATTATATACATTTAAGTATATTAATTATATAATTACAAGAATTACAGGATATGTATATCAGAAAAAAACCAATAATTTTGTATACTTTCATATAAATTATAAGAGAATTTATAAAAATAATATATATATATATATATATATACATATGTATATATATATATATATATATGTATATGTATATGTATATATATATACACACTGTATGTAATAAAATAGCATAATAATGCAAAATTGTATTGACTTACTGTTGCAACACTATAGAGTAAATGTTATATAAAATACATGACTCTTTGGAAAAGGTATTATTATGTTTTAATATAAAACCGCTAAAGTTATTTAATTCTGTACACGAGCACATCGGATGTTATAATGTCAGTGTAAATATGAGTAAAAGATTCATTCGTGACACACAGAATGCCCTTGTGAGTAATGCATGCTACAGGATATAAAGGCTGTAAAAAATGCAAAATTGGTTGTCGCTGTTTTATTATTCACCGTACGGTAAATCACCGTACGTATACGTGGAAATAGATTCGCACGCATCGCCAAAGATACGAAGAATTATTAGAATATTATTATGTATCGTATACAAGCGCAAACCCAATAAGGTTGTCTCTCTTTCCGAAACGTAAAACCCAAATTTAACGGATCTGACTGTCCAGTAAAGTAACATTGAGAAAGTAAATGGGCGAGATATAATATGGGAAAGGTCTTCTTTCGATAGCCTTATTATAAGTGTTTTCCCTGATGACTCATATCAAGAATATGAAGTATGGGACTTTCATATACATATTGCGATATCGATTTTTTCGTAAGAAAGAAAATACAATTCTAAATTGATGTTGCATAGTGATAATTTAATTTTATATATATATATATATACTTTATATATATATATATATAAAATTGTATGATGGAAAATATTACACTTAAGTAGTTATAATTAAGTAGTAATATCGATAACAAAATATACACAATTATTTATTGCTACAATCTTTCGTGCTATAATCAATAATATCTACATTCAAAAATTATAGATTGATTTTATAATATTTATATATTAATATTGTGATGTAACAAAATAACACGATATTAAAATTCACATTTTGTTAATAACAGCTTTTTTAAGAGCACTTGAAATTAATTCTTTCTTATAAAAAATTTATGAAAAGTCGTGACATAACTTAATAATTTTTATAATAAAACATTTTGTTAAAATTAAGTAAAGAATAATTAAAATTAATAAAATTTTATTCATTTTTTATTTTGAAACTGAAGTTTTTTTAAATATCTATTAAATTTGTTATCAGTTATAATTTAAACCCATTATAATATATATATATATATATATATATATATATATATATATGATAACAAGGCCTTTCTCATATGATTTAAAAATGTCTTTTTGTAAGCAATAGAGTATAAATTAGTAAAAGAAAAATTGTCTATATGTAAAAAAATATTACACGCATATTTTATATATTTAAAAAATATGAATTATTGATGCAATAGTTATAAGTTATGCACATAGATATATGAAATTGAAAAGATATACCATATCATTTTATTTATATTGAAACAATCGATATTTTTCTTGATTTCTACATTTAGCATGAAAACATAATCAACAATTTTCGTATATCTGGATGTCATGAATATACATGCGGAAGAATCTTTCGTATATTTATACGCATACAATTAAATCTCAGTCTAGCATATGACTATATATATATATTGGTTGATTGCTTCTCTGCCCGTTATAAAAAGAATGCGGTAGAGGAGAGCAATCAGTAGTCTTCGTGCGGTGTTCATCGACGATTCTCGCTGTTCTCATTGATCTATTTGATTCATTTTTATGCAAAAGGATCCCATTTGTGTGCGAGCATATTAAATTAATTAGTGAGTAACAATTAAACCAAATTGAATTAGTGTCCGTCTTAAAAGAATTGAAACCAATATAATTTTGACACGTGAATACAATTTTCAATATATATATAGTACGATTCGTTAATTAATTCTTTGCACCAATTATCATCATTATCACTGAATATCAAAATTATTTTTGCGCTTTTGTCATTGTTGAGATTTAATAGAATTAATTTTAATCTCTTTCTATCTGATTCTCTCATTCTTTTTTCAGTTTCTTACGATAGCAATGTTATTATTTTGTTGACGTTAAACTACGTATGATAAGATGACGTGCGGGTCAAGTTATAAAATAAAAATCGCATTACGTTCGAAAATTGCTGTCTATTTAATATGCGAAAAAATAAAGTTTTATAACATATTGATAAAGCGTTACAGCTCCTAAGCTGTTGTATGATAATTATATATTACACTTGGTTTGAATTTTTAAGTTATATACATTATTGCTACGATAATTATATATATATAACAAAAATTTGAAATTTATTAATATTTATTAAATTTGGAATTTATTAGTATTTATTAATCTTTAAATATAATAATGTTTATATGTACATGTCATAAACTGTCTTCTGAATTTAACAAGAAATCGTGATTTTTTTATTTCGAGATCATAATTAAATTATTGACTTATCTTCTCACGACACACACATTTTTCCAGGAAAATGTAATAATTTGTCAATATCGTAGCTTTTAACGTGTACACGCATCTTCGATCTGACGTCATTAGAATAATGTTATTTTCATTGAACTCGGAGCGATTTTATTTCTCAATGTCAGATATAACTCATTATTAACTTTGACCGTGAAAAAAGTCGCGGGGGAATCCGTTAACAATGCTGTCACGCTAGGTTGCAAATGTTTAATATCAATCATCTATTATGGATAGACTCGTGTATTTATTCAATGTCGGGAGTACCCAAGCAGAACTTATTTTCGCGCCAACTATAGCTCGATAGAAGCATCGAAATCTCCACGCACGCGCTGCGTCTCGAATTTCTTTAAACTTTTTTATTTAATAGATATATCCCTCTTTGTTACTTATTAACAAGTTTTACAGCGGAAGTTGTATTCAATCTTTTAACAAAATAAAAAAAAAAAGTGACTTTTTATTATCATAATTATATCAATTAATTATCAATGCTATATGCGCTCTATAATATGAACGTGCAGTAGGTAAATAAATAAAGTGTAATACTATTTATGAAAAATTCATTTTCTTGTTAAGAAGAAGACAAATATGAAAATATTATCAATTTCTCAGAATTATGTGAAAAAAGTGATTATATGATAAAGTTTAGAGAATGTAGATAATAAAATTTTATTTCTTAGTCAATTATAATTTTAGATGTTGTAAGCTTTAAGTATAATTACTAAGATTTTTAAGATAAAGATTTAAAAAAATGGTAAAAAAAGTTTTAATATAGAAAAAAATTATTTAAATCTCAAGCAATGTAATCTTGTTTTTTTTTTAATTTTGCTCATATATAAGGCGTTTTAGATTTCTCCAATTATATAGAAACATTATTTGCAGACACAACAATTTTTTTTATAAGTTGCATAATCTATTTAAATACTGACAATGAAATAACGTGATGTATTTTAATTTTTAGGCCAGACGTGTGATTTAAAATGTGGTCTTCCGTCATCGTATTCATCAGTTTACTATGTATATTAATACCATCGACGCAATCTCAAGGTATGCTTTTTATTACCATTTTGAGTAATATATATGTCTACAAATTCCATTATAATCTCGTCACTCAGATTTTACTTGTGAACTATAATAAACGAACCGGTATTTCGGGTGAGAAGAAAGAAATCCTTATTCGGGTATTTCCGATATGTGTTCAAACACAAAATATATTATCTCTAATTATAAATAATATACATGCTGCTATCGTTACTCTCGAATGCGTATCTTTTGTGTTACGTAATTGTTATTCTATCTATATATAATCACTTCACTGGCTCGACAAGCTTTACTATTACTAAAGAATTTTATTTTATTTATGATAAATTTTAAGATTATTAAATTGATATATGTCTTTGTATATTAAAAATTCTCTTTTAATAGTTTAGCACACAAACTTTCCTATAATTTTTCTCTTTTTTTTAGCAGAGATTAATTATTTAATCTTTAATAAGTATAAAGATTTACAAACTTTTTACGTTATATTATTACATAGATTTCCGAGAAATTACAAGTAGTATATATTGACGTAAAACTGACCGAACACGGTCAAGGCGAGATCCTTTAAATCGAGAGAACGAGACTCTTACATGTAGTATATAGTATAACCATCAGTGAAGGTCGGCTGGAGGCCGATTTGTTGCGACATTGTCCACCTTTTTTTCAATGATTCGATGCTTCCGAGAAAAAAATATCGCCACAAATTAAAAGATCCGTGATCATACAATCGATCAAATTGATCGAAATTAATAAAAATGATGTAAAGTACACTTTGAGATAAAACAATTTATAAATATGTAATATATTCCATATATTTCCACTATATTTCCACTATATTTCAATGAGAAATTATTCGTGTATTATTAATTGAAAATAATTGTGTTTATAACTTTTTTATATTTTTTATAAATTAAACAAAAATAATGTGAAAATAATACAGAAAAATGGACGGCCAATTATGCAATCATCTTTGATTCTCTTTTTTATATTAATTAATTATTCTAATTACATATAGTATAATTAAATCAGCAGATAATTTACCGGATGTGGTTGCGGTTATTAATTTATATAGAATATATAGAGTAATCATTGAACAGAAAGTTGTTACACGATTTATTATGTTAGATAGATTGTTTGATCAAGCAAATAAAAATATATGATATTTGTTATACATTATATATTAATTTTAATATTCTACTCATGTGGCATAAATATCTGATAGTTGATAGCTGAATGTATATTCATTTAGAATTAATTGTCCAATTATTTCTTACAAGTATGTAAGATATTCCACTACATTTCAATGTAAATCACGATAAACTCATCAGAATAATTTAAACTTAAAATCATCAGAGTTTAAGAAACAGTACTTAGCAATGCAACAAACATTAGCATAACTTTTTTCACAGAAAATGCATTTACATAGTGCAGTTAGTAGAATTTAAGTATTGGAGATCGTACGTCCATAAATAATTAATGTGCATATAATTTATTGCGTAATAATAAAATGCATTCTAAATAACTGTTCACATTTATTACGATAGTGATAAAGTTGTACAATTTGTCATGCTAAATCTTCTAATATTCCTATAATTGCTACCTGCTTATAAGTTTTTATAATTATATTTTTGATTAATTAAAGATTTTTAATAAAAATAAAATCTCATTCATTGTTTGATATATGTATATATAATTACAAAAAACACACACATTAAAATATATATAACACATAAAATTATAAATAAACACAGAAAAAACAGTATCCTTGAGAGAATGCAAATATGTTTTGATTCAAGTATATTTTATCCTTATAATAGCACCAAATATAAATAATTTTGGATAAAGGATAATTTATCTTTAAAACAAAGTGCAAAATATTCTTGGTTGAAGCTGAAATTTACTTATAAATATTGCAAGGACAAGTGACAAGTGTGCATCGGATATAAGCGGTACTTTCAAATAAATATAATAATTCTTAGTTCAAATGTGACTAAGTTTGTTTTTACCATATGCGATTTTTAAAACAAGAATATATCTTAAGGATAAAATATACTTTACACAAACTTATTTCTTATTAAAGCAAATGAAAATTTGTGATTACAAAGAGCATTCTATGCTTAAATCAATCAAATAGCGTTCAAGAATAAAAATATACTTAAATCAAGGATTTCTTTTTTTCTGTGAAATTATATATCTTTTATCGCAAATCATAGATCGTCTGTGAATTTTATAAAAACGTAAAGTTTTTTAAAATTATATATACAACAAATTAATAGAAAATTATATTACTTTAAAAAATCTTTTGAAGAAACTCACAAGTATTATATATAAAATTCGTGAAACTGAATTTTCATTGTTATAGGTTCATGCCAAAATCCGCAAGGACAACCAGGCGTATGTATCAATATTAGAAATTGCCAAGTGTTGCTCGACCTTCTGCAATCAAATTCTCAAAATGCAGAAGTAGGAAATTTTCTTCGTGCATCCGTTTGTGGGTTCGAAGGTAGAGATCCTCAAGTTTGCTGTCCTGCCGGCACCAATGGCGGAAATACCGGTGATACAGGAAACGGAGGCAACAATTTAGGCGGCGATCAAGGTCGCAGCGAGATCACGAATACCGTGTATGGTCCTTTGTATCCACCTGATTGCGGATTCAGTAATGTATCGCTACGTAGAATTGTTGGTGGCGAACCAGCTTCGTTAGGTATATATAAATAATTTTAATACAATTTTTTGCTTCCCACACATCATTGACAATCATGGGTGTCCGCAGAAGGAGGCATTTGCTTCCTCCTAGAAATCAGTAAAAAAATTAAGCATTTACTCTCCTTGTGAATAAACACTGGAATTTATCTGCAATTTTATTTAATATCCCTAATAGCACAGCACAACATATCCGAAAGATATTCAGAGGATATTGAAAGGATATCCAGAGGACATTCGAACATCCTCAGGATGTTCTCTGAACGTCTTTGGGATACGTGTGCTAATAGGGGTAAAATAATAAAATATTAAAATAAAGAATAATTAAAAAATTGAATTAAAAAAATTAAGGAAGAATAATATAATATAGGAAATAAAAAAATTTAATCATGCCCCTTCCTGGAAAAAATTCCTACGGACGCCCATGTTGACATAATTATATCTTGAAATTATTTTTAGGAAAAACTTATATACAAATTTGAAATTATAAATTTGACTTAGATTAAATAGAGTGTCAGCGCTATTAATGAAGCTATAATTCTTGATAATAATAAAACTGATTAATTTTGCAGGTTCTTGGCCTTGGCTTACCGCTCTTGGATATAGGAATTCGAGAGATCCGAATGTTCCAAGATGGCTTTGTGGCGGTGCTCTAATTACCTCTCGGCACGTGCTAACAGCCGGACATTGCGTGTTTGGACGGGATGATTTGTATAAAGTGCGTATTGGCGACTTGGACCTCAACACCGATTCCGATGGAGCGTTTCCCTTCGAGGACTTTCTCGAGAGAAAAACGGTACATCCGGACTACAACCCCACAACCCATACGAATGATGTGGCTGTCTTGAAAACGACTCGAGACGTACCCTTTACATGTGAGCTTTATTTCTGTTTTAATGTATTTTTTTTTTCAATTATATTGGTATTTTTCGCACGAAAAGTCGAGGAACAGTGTAAATTTATTGTTGAAAAAATTTAATTGACATGAAATATGAGATGAGAAGAAAATGTTTCATGTTCTTTTTTGTGATTTACAATTTAACGTGAATTATTTCTGATAATTATCGTTTTATATTTATCGTTTTGCGCCAAAAAGAATTACAAAGTTACAAAGAGATATCAAAACTATAGCAAAAATTTTTATTTTTTCTTCCCACTCTCTTAAGTGAACATTTACTCAAACGATCTATAGACATTTTTTTATAAACATAGCTGCATTAAAATATAGTTAAGTATTTGTACAAAATTAAAATATCACAGTTTTTAAAAATTAAATATTTTATATAGGTTTTAGAATTTAACTTTTTTTCTTATTATAGCACGATAAATTGATATCAAAACTTTAACTTTCAGCAATGCTTCATCCCATTTGTCTTCCGGTAGATGATTTTAATAGATATAGAAATCTGGAGAATACATATCCTTTTATTGCTGGATGGGGATCTATTTATTTCCGTAAGTGCTATATGAATTAAACTATATATATATATATTGTACAAATATATTTTTAAAAATCTTTCCTCAATGGTAAAAGTCGACCAAACTGACAATCATTTATTATAAATAATTAGTTAAAATACAACGTTTCGGCTGTCATTGCAGCCCTTTTCAAGTAAATCTATAAAAAGTTACATAAAAATAATTATAATTTTAATACATTTCATCACAACAAATAATTATAAATTCATATACAAAAATATGTTACATACCAAACGTAAATGCATAATAAATTAATACAGTAAATCAAATTCACTGCATACCACCATTTTAACTAATTATTTATAATAAATGATTGCCAGTTTGGTCGACTTTTACCATTGAGGAAAGATTTTTATTAATTATTACTGGCGAACCTTAAGGATTATTATTTGAAATATATTTTTACATATATTCTTGTATATATAATTTTTTGTTAATTATAATTTGATAAATTTCTTTAATTTCTTATAATTTAATAAGTATATAAATCGCGTGTGTGTGTGTGTGTGTGTACATAAAAAACAATATGTATAATATATATATGATAATCTTTAAATCAGAAAGTGCTAAAATACTTTATGATATATTATTCATTTTTTTAGGTGGACCCACAAGTAGTCGGCTTTTGCAGACACAACTTCCTGTACGTACAGAACAAGAATGCAAAAAAGCTTTTCAGAACTTTAAAGGAAATGTAATAGATAGCCGCGTTTTGTGCGCCGGCTTTGCTCGAGGTGGAAAAGACTCCTGTCAGGTGAGAAATGATTGTAAAATAATTATATTGATAGAAAAGATTATTTAAAATTTTTATTTACTATTTTTTTATAAATAGCTTAATAAATAAAAAAATTAATAAATCGAATTATGCGTGGTCATAGGCTTAGTCGATTGAAATAATAATCCCAAAAATTTATTGTTTTTAAGACACACTTTGATTGCAAATCAATTTTCGTTCTTTTCATAATTTCTAATATTATTATTTATCAAATTTATTTGCTGATTTAATTAATAAATTTGCTAAGTAATTTTGCCACCTTCTGCAAAATTTTTGTATTTTTTAAATTATTCATACAAATGTAATGATTTTTATTTGTGTTAATGAGACGTATAATGAAAAACTAGTTCATTATAATAATAGAATAATTTTAAGAAAGATACTAAAAAAATTATTATTTCATTAATTAAATATTTTTTATTAAGTATTTATTTTTTTACTTACGATATTAAATGATTTTTTTAGGGTGATAGTGGTGGGCCAATGATGTCTCCTAATCCTCGAGATTACCAATACTATTATGTTGTTGGAGTAGTATCATATGGTTTCAGATGCGCTGAACCAGGTTTTCCGGGTGTTTATTCAAAAGTAACGGCCTTCCTCGATTTCATTACGAACCAATTAGTGTAAATAATATTTCTTCGCAAATAAAAACCTTCTGTCCATTTTTTTCTCTTAAATCCTAAAAACTGAATGCCATATATGTTTTAATTTGTAAAGTAATCTTTTTTATTTTAACTCTATCATGCAACATTTAATAATTATTCTAAGCAAGTAAATTACAAAAATTATTCTAAGCGAGTAAATTACAAAATTAAATCTTGTTTGTTGCTTTAAATTAAATTATGTCTTGCATATGTGTGTGTGTGTGTGTGTGTGTGTGCGTATAATTTTTAATATGATAAAAAGTTATAAAATTATAAATTTTTTATTATGTTTTTTTATATATTTTTTCTATTATATTTTTAATAGTATTATCTATATACTTTACCTATATATATACTTTATTATATATTACTTTATCTATATACTTTATAAAACTGAAATTGATGATTAATTCATTTATTCAAATTTCAATTTTTGAAACATTTTTTAAATAACATTTTTAAGTCATTTTAATTAAATCCCAATTATCTTAATCAATGATTAATTTTATTATCTCCTGTGTTTTTTAATATAGATAATTTTATTTATTGTGGTTTAAAAAATAAAAAATAGATTAGGAACAATGTGATATAATTAAATTTTGATGTAATCTGCCAATTAAATTAATCAGTGAAGTCGCATACGCTTGTTAAGGGGATCCTAAATGCACGGGCGAACTCCGATAGGGTCGATAATGAAGATTTTTTAAATATAATTATCGACAAAACTCGACAGATGTCGCAATAAAAAAGTTGTCAATCGACACACACATACATATACAGGGTGTCCCATTTTATATAATTTATAATTATATAAAAATTATATATACACAGGTTGTTACACATACATATACACATATGTATGCGTGTGTGTATTTATACAAGGTGTCCCATTTTTACTACCCCTAATATCTCTTTGTTTCAATGCATTTTATAATAAAACAACAAAAGTTGTACGGTTTCAAAGGAACTATAAAATAGTACCATTAGTGTTGAAACCTTGCACAGTCATAAAGATTACGTGAAAGTCACTATCACATGATAAGTTATAAAGTTTCAACATTGCAATATCGCTTCTGAGAATTTTGCGCACATGCAAACTGCATCTGGGGTAAAATATTTTGTACAGTTATCAGCAAACGAATAGATCGCCTGTGGAATTATTTTTTAAAACAACCAGCACACGAATAGATCGCCTCTGGAATTACAGTTTTAAAACAACCAGCACACGAATAGATCGCCTCTGGAATTACAGTTTTAAAACAACCAGCACACGAATAGATCGCCTCTGGAATTACAGTTTTAAAACAACCAGCACACGAATAGATCGCCTCTGGAATTACAGTTTTAAAACAACCAGCACACGAATAGATCGCCTCTGGAATTATTTTTTAAACCAGCACACGAATAGACCGCCTCTGGCACTAACTACTATAAAAACTATAATAATAATTATCAATTATACATGAAAAAATAAACAAAGGATTGCATTATCTTTCAGATAAAAAAAATTGAGAATTGCATTTTAATAAAAAAAATTAAAATAAAAATTAAAAATAAAAATAAAAATTGCATTTTAAACGTCTATTTGAATGTTCTTATAAAATTACACCTACATACATACATACATACAAATATATATATATATATATATATATATATGTATATATATATTTATATACAGGGTAAGCCATTTTAATCTTTGCACTAAAATTTCTCAAAATTCAAAAGTTTAAAACAAAAATGTTTCAGATAAAAGTTGTATGGTTTCAAGGGGGACATGAGATGGTGTCATTGATTTGACCTTGAATAGCCATTTGAAGGTTACGTGACGGTCAACTTCAATTTCTTAAATGGAACACTATATTTTTTCTTGCATACTTTTATAGCTGACTTTAAGATCTTTCCAAAACACTACAATAAAATATTTTTTCATTAAGTATTTTTCGAGTTATAAGGCTGCAAATTTGCAGTATTTTGACATAAAATACAAAATATCTTGGGAAATATTCATTTTTCGATTATCATACCTTAATACTTTTATGCACAGAATAATGAGACGAATCAATTGGTGTAAAAAAACACATAGTTGTCTTAAAGAAAAATTATCTAACTGCTTATTGCAATTTTCATATTTTTTTAAAGGTAAATATGTGTTTTCTTTACACCAACTATATATATCAATATATATGTATCAATATATATATATATATATATATATACGATGTTCAGCATAACAATACGTACGATTTTTGAAATGTTTGCAACAGTTTAGAAAAAATATATATTGTAAAAATTGATCTGTTTTGTGCAATCTATTACAAGCAATAAAAAATGAGGAAAAAAAATTTTTATAAAAAAAATTAGTGTTACCTTGAATTTTTTTTAATAAAATCATATTTTTTTATATAAATCGATTCTCAATATTCTGCATAAGTTGTAATGTAGGATGGCCAAAAAAAGCGAATAGCTTATGAGATATATTATACTTTCATAATGTACATAAACTATGAAATATCTCATGAAATCATTTTCTGATTATTTTATTCCAATTTTAAATCAATTGGTGTAAAGAAAACACAGATATAAATAAAGATATAAATTGTAAACCAGCAGCTACATATTTTCTCTAAAACTCAAATATCTCGTAAACTTTTCACTTTTTCACAATTTTATCTTTATAATTTTTGATGCAGAATATTGTAACAAATTGATTTAGATTGAATATGATGCTTTATTTAAAAAAAAATTATGACATTCATTTTTTCATGAAAACATTTTTTTTTAATTTTTCTGTTACGTAATAGCTTTGAAACAAATTCATTTGTACAATATAAATTTTTTAATTATCAGAAACGTCTCAAATATCATGCGCACTATTATAATATATATATATATATATATATATATATATATATATATATATATAATACATACAGCATACATAATACTGTTACATACAGCACAAATACACAAAATATTACATACCTATTTATTATGCACATAAATGTATATAACGATTAGATAGACAAAAAAAAAGAAATAGAAGAAAAAAGAAATAAATAGAAAGAGAGCGAACGAGTGAGCCTTTTTATAAACGTCGACAAGCAATATATTATTATGTATGTATACATGTATGTGTGTATGTATATATACATATATATATTGCTTTATGATATATATTTATAATGTAAAGAGGCTAGAGAACTCATACTCACTATCTTTCTCTTTTTTTTCTTCAGCTTTCTGTATCTGTTAATTTATTCATTATATCCATGTATGTGTATAACAAATAGATGTATATAATTAATGTTTATTTGTACTGTTTATAATGTTATATATATATATATATATATATATATTTCTTTTTCTTTTTGTCTATCTAATCGTTATATACATTTATGTGCATAATAAATAGGTATGTAATATTTTGTGTATTTGTGCTGTATGTAACAGTAATTCTGATATTGAATCAATTTTATGATATGACATAATACTAACCTTTTAAAACATGCTCCCTTTCTACTCAATCTGCGACCAGATAGGGGCAAACGTTTATTTTTGTTTGCACCCATTATACACTATATATTTAATAAATATAAAAATATCACTTTTAAAATATCACAGTATGTCTATCTATCACAATATTCGACACGTTATCACACGTTATAACGGTCGAGTCGCGCACTGCGTGTAAGCACGTATAGTACGTACCGCGTGACAAGTGAACCATCCCGCGCAAATATATGTCATTGCGCGCACACGATTTTGTTTACAAATATGTATATATAGGGTGTCTACATGCTACATTTTTAGCATGTACCCAATTTTTGTTATTTTTCGCAAAATTATAATTACACAATTATTTAATATAATTATATATAAAAAATTTTTCCCGCGTTGTATGTGTCGTAAGGAGATATATGTATAATTGATCGTTTGCATTGAATGTCACTATTTTCTGAAAAGTAAAAAAAGAGAGCTCTCTCTCTCTCTCTCTCTCTCTCTCTCTCTTTCTTGATCCTTTATGCTTATTGTTAGTATTCTATCAATTAGTAATCAATGCAATCAATCATATCGTTTTACGGCAACAGCCAGTTACTCGTTCACTCACTCATTCATTCTTTTAAAATATGTCCATTTTTATACATAATTATGTAAATTTATATATAAAAAATAAGGGTGCATATATAATCATGTCAAATTTGTATATAAAACATATATATTTATATATATAAAGAAATACTTATTTATTACACTTGTGTATATATATATATATATATATATATATATATATATATATATATAAATTATATAATATATATAACAAGCACTTTTACTTAATTATGTATAGACATATTTCATAATATAATTCTGCGATTATACGTATACTTTTATATATTTCTATATAATGTTATATTATTATATACACAAATTTTTGTCCCGGGGTATTTTAAACTTTTATTTTCTTTTTCTTTCCCCATTCTTGTCTGTCTTTACATGCATGTTATTATGTTGTATGTGTATCATGTATAATTTGGATTTGTATGTATGTTGAGAAGATTGGAATAGATAAAATTTTATTACTTCATGTTTTTATATTATAAATGCAGCTTTTTGTAAATATCCGAAATAAATAATTTTTCTACAAATATTTTAAATTTATCAAAATATTTTTTACTGCACAATTAGACTAATATATTTTGCATTATTCTATCTTTATTAATTTTTTTCATAATAAAATGGATTTTATTGAACAAATAATAAATAGTAAATAGAGAAAATATAAAATATCGAAAAGAATATATTCATATAAACATATATTTGTGAAATCGAAATTTTGTTAAAATTGACTTTCATAGAAATTGTATTTTATAAATTTAATTAAAAAAAGCTGCATTTATCAGATAGAAACATAAAGTAATAAAATAATATATTCCAATCTTCTCAACACACACACACACACACACACACACACTTATAACAAATGTTATATAAATTATACATATACAGGATGTAACAACG